TGTAGAAGACTCACCAGCATAAGAAACGAATTTGATGTTTTTAAACAGGCAACTCGATTTGAAGAGATCTTTCGTAACAATAATGTAGCCGGGATCACTCAACTGACAAAGTTTTACCAAAAAGCCAAAGTTTCCTTTTAATCACTCATATTAAATTTTATATGCTAACCCATTTTGTTTCTATTATATATATATACACATTTTCGAATAATTTTTAACACATATACATATAAACGATTCCACCAATCTCAAGCCTTCACAATCCGTCGTCGTTCAAAAGTAACTACGTCTAAAAGCTACTGAGTAGTGTCACTGAATACATACCTGCTACTTACGTAAAAGCTACGTATCGAGAAATATTTTGCAAAACACATTATAAACCAGTGTACGAAAATAAACTATATTGTACGTTACTATTTCGTTTCGTTTATTACTTTAACAGTTCGGTACAATACGAAACAAAACGGCTGAGTTCACTTTGGCGATAGTACACTACAGTAGTTTAGTAGTTACAGACGAAACAACAAACGAAATGAATCGTGCAGGGAAAATATTTTTATGTATGTACATATATGCAATAAACAAATACAAAACGAATGGCTGCAATGAATAAAAAAAATAAAAATGTTTTTTAATTGAATTGGATATGAAAATTTACAGAAAAAATTATTTTTCACGTAATTGAAACGTTTGCATACATATAAAACGTACCCTATGGTACAATTGTCACNCAACAGATAAGGAGTAGGACATCGTTCTAGGCGGACATGGCAACCTGCCACTATGCCAAGGACACATTGCCGTGGTATAATGAAAATAACATCAATTTTGTACCTCACGACTGCAATCCACCCAATAGCCCAGAGCCACGTCCTGTTGGGGAATATTGTTCAATTGTCAAATGAAGAAGAAAACAGGTGAAAGAGTGAAAATTATTGAAGAGTGCAAAACAAAGTNCGATCGGTGCTCCTGTTGTAGAAGACTCACCAGCATAAGAAACGAATTTGATGTTTTTAAACAGGCAACTCGATTTGAAGAGATCTTTCGTAACAATAATGTAGCCGGGATCACTCAACTGACAAAGTTTTACCAAAAAGCCAAAGTTTCCTTTTAATCACTCATATTAAATTTTATATGCTAACCCATTTTGTTTCTATTATATATATATACACATTTTCGAATAATTTTTAACACATATACATATAAACGATTCCACCAATCTCAAGCCTTCACAATCCGTCGTCGTTCAAAAGTAACTACGTCTAAAAGCTACTGAGTAGTGTCACTGAATACATACCTGCTACTTACGTAAAAGCNTAAACCACAAGCAATGTGAGCAAGCCAAATTTGCTGTAGAAAGCAAACCTTGTCAACAAACTGGATATACACAAGCAGAAGCTCGTACACAAAGTTCTGGCCCTTTGGGTATTGCTAACGTGTATCAGCGGAGCAACATTAAAACAACCTGGAGTTGTACTCGCTTAATTACGCACATCATACGTGGAGGAACAACCTGACGATAGGGACTATTGGGTCCCTTGTCATCTCTTCAGAGCCCAAAAAAAAAAACGAAAATGAAGTCAAAATTTCCAAAAACCACATGGTTTGCCAAGCTATTTGTTCCTGCGGCCGTAAGAGCAGCCCTTTTTTCCCATCCGGGACAATGAATGATCAAGTTTATCGGGAGTGCCTCAAAAGGCGTCTTCTGTCATTTATCAACAGATAAGGAGTAGGACATCGTTCTAGGCGGACATGGCAACCTGCCACTATGCCAAGGACACATTGCCGTGGTATAATGNTGCGTCTGGCGCTTTGCTGGCAAAGTTATAAATGTCACGCAAAGCTACAAAGTTTTATCTGGCATCAGCTTAAGTGTCGCAGTTTTCGTGTGTTCACCCTTTACAAATAAATATTTGTATGTACATATATACCGAAGTTGTGTACTTCAAACCGCGTATAATTTGAGAATAGATGGTCCACTTTGAGCTGTTTTTCTGTTTTTTTTTATTGCCTTNCCTTTACAAATAAATATTTGTATGTACATATATACCGAAGTTGCGTACTTCAAACCGCGTATAATTTGAGAATAGATGGTCCACTTTGAGCTGTTTTTCTGTTTTTTTTTATTGCCTTGTAAATTCTTTGCGGTACCATTTGCGGTTGATGGATATGAAAAAGTTATTTATTTGTGGAAAAATTATATAATTTTGACAAAAAAGACGCCAAATAAAAACATTTGGCGCTTACGTTTCTTTCGGCGTTCTCGCTCGATTGTTTCTAATACGGTAGCCCGAATTCGTTGATGTTTCACTTTTAAGGCCAGTTTTTCAGTGCAAGTTTAAACTTAGATCACGTAAACTGAGTTTGTCTTTACCAGCTCGAGCGGTTATAATTTTAATTATAATAAAGACTTACATAATAATAATAATAATTTTAGACCCCAGCCGTGCACTGGAAAACTGGCCCTTAGTGATCGGGAGACCTTGTGTCTAAAGTTTTAAAAAACTTTTACTGGTTTTGCGTTCTCGTACCCAAAAAACTTGCAAAGTAGGGGAAATTGAGAGAGCGAAATGTGAAAGAGAGCTGCAAATTTCTGCTGGAAAAATTTTTCCCAGCTAAAACTTGCAAGTAAGAAAATCAGCTGATCACAAACACATGTTTGTAAATAAACAAAAGAAAATATGGCTTTTTTGAGTTATTTATTGCAAATTTTATTATTAATGCTAGTATATAACTAAAAAGTGCGTAAATTTAATAAGCACAACGTTTGTTGTGTTTATTTTTCGTTAATTTGCTATTAATCTCCAGTTTGTTTACTTTAGTGCGTGCTGACTATGGTTGCCGTATGAAATTTTTCGTTTGTAACATAAATTTCCTTCAAATATACCAAAATAGATTTAAATGAAGCATGTTGAAATGTTTTTTTGCTGAAGTTTTCGGTTTTGGTAGGTTGATTGTTGAAATGAAAATTTTATAATTTTAAACCTACTCTATTACATTATTTTGGATCAAAGATGGGTGTTTGGAGGAGATACTCTTGTTTTTAATGCGTCACCATGTGATATCAGAAATAATTATGAGAAAAATAACTTATTCATTCCGATATAATTAATTCGTATTTTAAAAAGGTTTTTCTTATCCAAAACTATTCAATTGTATAAAATGCCAAATCGGGGGAAAGTGACGGATCTGAATAAGCGACTGGAACACGGCTGTTTGTCAAAAGCATACGATTTCGAACTCGCGTAAATGTACATTTGCTAAATGCGGTAGCATGAACGCTCTTCGAAAACATATGTTCGAAAGTGCTAAATGTTGCATTTTAAATGCAGCAAAAACGCTGCAATAGACTGAAATAAATATTAAATCATTATTTATCGAAGTATTCATGCCTATTATGGTATCCGACAGATGGTTGTGGAGGGAGTTTTACTCACTTTTGACAGATTTTGGTATTATCGAAAGCGATCGATAATGCAGTTTGCGGATGAGTCAAACGAGGTTAATGCAGTTTGCGAATGAAATAAAAAAGTGGCATCATTGAAAACGCGTCCGATCCGTGATTCGTCCAATTTCTCTATCTTTCATTCACGCGCCGTTGTGCTGCGGATACTAAAAACGATAAGATGGATAGCAATGAAATGTAAGAAAAACCACAATTATTTTCCCTTTAATATTGTAATATTGTAAAAAATACACCATCTTATGTGTTTTAAGAAGCGTACAATGACCAGGGAGCAATTTAAATGTTTAGTTTCTTAAATGAAGGAGCATCCGGACATAGCAAAAAATTTACTAAAAATGCACCTGATTTGGTAGAAAGATTTTGGGAAAGTGTGTGAGAGGAGTTGAATTCGATTGGACCGCCATCAAAAACCATTGCCGAATGGAAAAAGTTTTGCGAAATGTTGAAAAGCTAAAATATATTATTTACTAAGTTTGAACCACAGGTTTGGTCGGACTATAAGTCGGCGATAAAGAAGAAGCTCGCGCATAACAACAGAGAGCTACATGCGACTGGTGGAGGAGAAAATAGTGAAATTCCCTTAACATCTAGGGAAGAAGTTGCTACCCTTGTGTGTCTGAATGATTGCGTTGGTGGTATTAGAAGCTCCAAACAGTTTGGAGTGCCACAGGGGATAAATTATGATGACGCAGCTCCATCTACATCGAGAAATGTTCCACAGATGAGAGCTTCTGCTACGAGAGATGTACCGCAGGAGAGAATATCTGAGGACACTTCTCCACCTACTCGGAGAGATTACGATGGTATTGAAGCTCATGAAGACGTAAATATTGAGAATGACCAAAATATTTCTAACCAAAGAAGAAAAAAGAGACCCGAGCAATTCGATTTATTAGAGAAGCAAATAGGGGTTCAAGAAAGACTATACGAAAAAGTGTCTGAGAGTGTTGAGAACCAACAGGAATATTTTCAACACATGAGGGACCATTTAAAAAGACTTAATAGATCGGTAGAGAGGCCAGGCGACCAAAAAAAGAAAAATACTGAAATTCTTCAGAATACTCTTGAAGAGATTAAAAGACATAACGCTGTGATGGAAAAGGCTGCTATAGAAAAATTAAGATTAAAAAGGGAACTTTTAAATATTGAGTTAAATAACGTCAACAGGCACCTTAATTCTTAAAATAAGTGGGACTTGACAATTTTTTTATGAGATTTGTTTTTATTTTATATTGGATTTTTTTTTTATAACTGTAGTGCCAGAATGCTTTCTGAAAAAGAAGGCTTTATTATTTAAGTTTTTTTCTGTTTTTTACTGTGTATGTAAATCAATGAAGTGATATGATTTTATTTTTATCTACATCCTAAGGGCCATTTGCACCATGTCTAGTTAACGCTAACTGGAGGTACATCCTTCAGTTAAGCACGTTAACTGCTTTATCGATCACATGTTATATGATGGGTGTCGATAACGTCGATAAAGATGTTTAACTGGGAGTTAGAATTAACTAGACATGGTGCAAACGGCCCTTAGTGTGTAGACAACTTTGTGCAACACTTTGCCAGGAAGGCTTTTACTTAAATATTAATAAATATGTATGAAAATGAATAATGTGATAATAAATAGTTTTATTTTACAAAAAGCTACGTAACATCTCATTGCGAATTTGAGTTGCTTCATTTGTATATCGTTGAGGTTGTAAAGGTTCGCCTACATATTCATCGAGTTCGTAGACTTCCTCTTGGTATTCATCGGAAATATTATAATGTATCCGAATGTTGTGAAGTGCTGCCGCAACGTTTACAATTTTAACCACTTTCTCAGGAGCATAATGTAGTTGGCGAGCAGAAAGGAGACATTAGCACCAGTTCTTCCAAACGCCTATGGTTCGTTCAACAATATTACGGCCTTTACTATGGCTTTTATTAAATCTGCTTTCTGGACTATCAACGCCTGCACTTCGAAAGGGTGTTATAAGCCAGGGTAACAGTGGATATGAAGAGTCACCTATGAAAGATCATTGCAGTTAAAATAGCACTTTGATTATTCGTTATTTTTTTGTACCTAGCAGTCTTGTGCTTCTGTCTCCATTTTCATACTGCGCTTGGAAGTAGGTGGAAGCATCACTATTATCCCAAATAAAAGAATCGTGACTTGCACCTGCATACCTACTGTTCACATACCTTATTCTTTGCTTATGGTCACATATCTGAAAATGCAAAATAAAAGAATATAAATAAATAATAAATTGAAGAAGTTCAAACTCATTTAGTTCTTACTATCATTGCATTAACACTGTAATATCCTTTCCGATTATAATAAAGGTGTGCATTGCCTGCAGCTGNATTTAAGAATTTTTATGTGAGTACCGTCTACACACATGACAATTCCAGGAATTCTAGTTTTTTCGAAAAAATATCTTCGCTTCAAGTTTTTCATTGTATGTCATTGATAAAGTAATCCATCTGGGACATAAAGTGGCTTCTAAGATGTTTAGTACATCAGAGAGTACTACAGATACTGTGGATTGCGCCATGCCAATATTAAAATCTTGGCCAGTATCATTCTGATAGCCCCCTTCAGCTAAAAACCATAAACAGGCTTCTAATTTAAGCTCTGGCGTTATGGAACATGATCTTCGAACTGGAGGCAATTTCTGCATTAATATTTCCAAAACGTACTTGAATGCTAACTTGTTAAGCCGGAACTGTTTTACAAATCTGTATAAGGAACTCACATGTTAAAATGAAATAAAGACTTCAATAAATTTACTCACACCTCATCCGGCAACTCGAATACATTCANATAAATTAAATAAATAAATTTACTCACACCTCATCCGGCAACTCGAATACATTCACAACATTATCCCTGACTTTCCTTCTAGTCCGTCGCATATCACTCCTGGTGTTTTCATCGAAATTAATAAAAAAAGCCACAGAATCCATTTAATATTTGCAATAAATTTCACCAATGTTAACAAAAATCCTTCACACATATAAGCACAGCTGATTATGTTGGCAATACAGTTCACAAGAGGCAACGCAGTGCATCCGTCGGTATCAATAATAGTGTTTACTTAAAAAAGTGAATCGAGTACGGATCGGATTAGATCCGAGCGGATGGAATCCGTCGGATACCATAATAGGCATGATTGATTTTTATGCAAAAGTGACGCCCGGACTCGTACGGGATCACAACTTATATTAGCTCTGATCCAGTACTCCATAAACTTACAGAATTTTACACGAACTTGCAGGAAGTTGCAGTAAAAATGTTCCCGTACTCCGAAATCCTCCAAAGTCCTGTAAATGAGAGCGACTTTTGGAGAGTTGTGTAGAGAATGAAGTTGCAAGATTTTACCCGAACTTTTTCTTCTGGTAAAATCATGAAAAGTGTCAAGCAATCACTGGTTGACGTTTTTACAGGAAAAATGGTTTTTTTTGTTCCCGCACTTTTTGTTGTTACTCACTTTTTACTCTCACTTCAGAGAGTAATTTTCTGTTTGACATTAGTTGCGTTCGATAACAAAATTAGCCAACACCAGCCATGAATCAAAATCAAGAGCGTAAGCGAAAATTCTCTCCCAAAGAGAAGAAAAAGCAAAGAAGTAAACGAACAGGAAATTAGCCATCACTTGCAAAAACCGGAAGAAGAAGGCACACCAGCTGACAATGTTTATGTTTTATTTGTAAACAAACTGAAATTCATGTTGCCTCCATGGAAGAAAAAAGGAAAGTGAACGTTCAATGTTTGCCAGGAACATTTCTAGAAGTAAAAACTAGTTGGCGCTATCATAAAGTCACATAGCAGGCAGCCAAAAAGCATATAAATACCAAAACTCGGAAAATGCAATTTTGTTTGTTTACAAAAATTGCAACCATATGTTTTGTGATCATATGTTTTCGTGTTGGATAATTTTTGGCTGACTAAAATTTTGCCAGTAACAAAATGAACGCTTCTCTTGCATCAAAATGAACGCTTGCTCTCTCAATTTTTGTGTGTTGGATAATTTTTCGTCGTTATCGAACGCCATCCAGTAAAAATTTAGAAAAACTATTAAAAATTTTTGACTTGTCGAACGCACCTAGTTTTACAGGATTTTTCACGAAAAATATTGGATCAGAGCTATTAAATGAAAGAAGATACCGAAACGCATTGAACACTGCACACACCTTGTAAGGAAAAGTGAATTAGTAGTTGCGATCCCGTACGAGTCCGGACTAGTCAGAATCAATCAGATTTTACTGGAAAACGATCCCGTACTCGGTTCTCTGAGTACTGAGAGGACAAAAAAGAGAGTAAATACGGTTCTCTCTCTGTCAGAAGTTTCTAGTTTTAGTCCGAGAATTTTTTGTTGGTAAATTCTGGTAAATATGTCAAACGATCAGCTGTAGTGTGTTTGGCAACCAAATTGTAAACAAAAGAAATGTGCATTCTGCTAATACATGTTGAAAAGTATTTAATTACTTGTTTAAGTCGATTCTAATGAATTTGAAAGTATTTCGGTTATTTACATGCGTGAGCTGAGTGTGTTTACATTCAAAATTAGTAAAAATTTACAACCAAAATTTGGAGGTTATGTTGAAGTTGACAGAAGTTACCATTTTCTACTAGAAAGCGATCCCGTACTTTTCAATGTTACTCTCTAGCTCTTAGCGAATGTTTATTTTTTGACAGTTTTACTAGTCCGAGTCCGAGGAATACGGGATTGCACCTATTACGAAATACTAATACAGTGGCAGCACTATAGCTATTTTGGAATNAGCTCTTAGCGAATGTTTATTTTTTGACAGTTTTACTAGTCCGAGTCCGAGGAATACGGGATTG